CACTGTTCCACGCGAAAATCGACTTGCAGACTTCCTATATATATACATATATATTTATTAATGTATGTATAGATAGATTGACACCTGACATATTATTGATAATTCTGAAAGTTCTATTCCATTTCTTTAGTTTTGTTTGCCTTGATTGCTTCCTGTGGAAAGAGAGATGTCACAGAGAGCTTAAACAATAAATATAAGGGCATATAAAAATGTCTAATTTTTTAGAAGGGGAAATATTCGGGTGCCTTCCGTTGAAAAAATTATTTCTGGCCTGGATCCTGGTAGTGGTGAGGGGTCATTCAGTGGAGGAGCTGCAACACTTAACTGTCTGTGAAAGAGAGGAGGGCAGTAGTACAATTGCGGCTGAGCTAATTTCTATTTTGTTTCAACCTCATTGCAGCCCCAACCGATTCGTTCCCCACCTTGTTCTCCGAACCTCTCAAAAGCTGTGGCAGATGAATCTCTTTCCGAACAGCACCTCCCTCAAGCAGCTTATGTGGTCAGTAACAACGTACAATAACGTAGGACCCTAAATATCACAGAATTAGAAAGGAATTCAGTGCTGAATTCATTTTACTGGATTGTTGTTCTGGTCAATTACTTAAGACATCGGTTGGGGTAATTTGCGATTAAACACTATAAGCTATGAATGAAAACACAGTGCTGAATTTTAGTTGATAAGTCACGGAAATGACATGAAATGATAAACCTGGATGCCCTTGGGAAATTCCTTGCAACAGCAAAGATCCGTCAGATCAACATCCGTCTCAGTCCTCAGGTCTTGTGCTGGAAAGTTATCTTCACTGTCCTCGCTTCTGGTAAATGCAACATGGTTTGTTTATCTTAGAACTGCTTGACTGCACATACTCAAAAAAAAATAAAAAAAAACAAAGAAAACAGAAACAAAAAAAAAGAGAGAAAAAGAAAGCATAAACAGAACAAAACAATATTAGTTTTTTTCTATTTTGACCTCGCCCTTAGAAATCCACAAGAGATGCACTGCTAAGCGACTTACGGAAAAACGAAACAGTCACATCTAGGAAGGAACCTCCCAATAAACCGCTCCCCGTTGTACCTGACTTTGTAGACAGCCCTCAACAGTCGCCGCGTGCTTCTCCTACTCCGAGATTTCCGAGATCTGATTCTGGATATCTTTCACCCCGATCTTCAGCAAAGAGTTCAAAGAGTGGATCTAGGCCAGTAACTCCACCGGAAAATTCCCGACCACGGACTCCTGTTGAAATGGGACCTCCCTCCAAGCCCCTCCCGCCTACCCCAAGATCAAAAAGCCCAAGCCCCATTCCATCGCGAGTGCCCGCTGAGCCTAGAAAAACACGTGACGTCGAATTGGTTTTCACACAATCTATTAAGGTGGACGAGTCAGTTTCAACCGTGGAACTTTTGAAAGAGGCGGCTGCTGCTTTCAAGCTACCTGAAAATTCATTTGCACTTTGGTAAGGCAATTACCGTGGTAACTAATTTTTTGTCGTAGTCATATAGCGTCGGAGAGTCAACCTTGTATAAACCCATTTTTTTTTTCCTTTTACAGGTGCATGAAGGACAACCAGCTCACAGTTCTACAAGATCAGGATCTGGAAGAAATCATCCGCTCATCGTCAGACAACAGTCCTCAAGTTTTCTGCTACGAAAACAAACCAGAGTGAATGAGTTTCGACTCGAATTTTCAATAGCGGAGGGGCTTTGATCGATACATGCCTCGTGGAAAGTCCGTTTTAGAAGAACAAGTAAAAACTTTGCGCTGAACTCACTGACTTGTTTTGATCTCACTGATATCGAAATACAGATCTTGAAACCCTGAGTAAACTGGAAAGCTCTTTTTGTTTCTCCCTATCATCACAAACGTAAAAATCCCATACGCGCCGAGGGTGGATAATATCATTACGTTGAATAAGTCTTCGTGAGGCTAAGGCTTTACTAAAACCACTCTGTACTTTTTTGCTTGTTTTTTTGGTTTTTTAGTTTTAGGTTTCGTTTGTTTCTTATTCAATAATAAAACACAAAGAATGGAGGTCCAGAGTATCTCTCCAATTTATATTAATGTTATTGATGGATTTTGTGTCTGCTGTCCCTATATATCTGGCACTTTGAATATGTATGAGCAAAAGAACTGCCTCTACCCTGCCTCCTAAATACTGGTGACGATATGGTTGCGTGACAATCCAGTAACAATCCAGTAACGAGTATGGTGACACGATGAAATAACCGGGGATACCGGTAGACTGTTGTCACAGCATTTGTCGCAGAAATTATGGGACGTTTGGTTTACTGACAAGCAAGTAACATTTGGTGGGTGCAGTGGCGGTGAAAAGTAAGGAAGGCGGGTCAAAATCTGTATTTGAGAGGCAATCGGAGATGGCAACGAACATACCGAAAGTTCCAACTTATTCTCGAAAACAACGCCGAAATGACGACTCAAGTTGGTTTCTACGGACATAAAGGTAGGAAATTTAAAAACATTTCTTAATATTTCTTATTTAAACTGCATTTAGGTCAAAACACGTGGTGCCATCTGAAATAAACCGTTAACTAACCATTGAGACTTCGAAAAGTCCTCGCGTTGCACAAATTAATTTAGCCAAAAACTTTTAACAGGAATGTGCAGAAAATATTACCTGAAGCTTGATTAATTTGAAGATTTTGCATAGGATGAAAGTTAATTTTGTTTTGGAGCGTCAGTGAAATGCATGTTTGCTTAATTAAGCTTAGTGGTAAACAGTCCTACATAATAAGAGTTGCCCGGCTCCTCCTAAAATCAATCCAGTGTTTATTTGGAGATTATGAAAGGTGGGTTGAGTGCTTTGAAGGTAGTAGAATGATTTATTTCCCTTAGCGGAGCTGTCATATACTTTTGGAGTGTTGTAGCAAAGAATACCATCCGGATTTCTATTATTTGGATTTTTCTTTGAAACGAGCCGCATATCTGCTTTTTGCCAACGCCTGCAAATGGTGAAATGTTGGCACAGTCTTTATTCAATTTTCATTTTATTCCACGTGAAAATGTTACATGCATTTGAAACTTGTCATGTGCAAAGCATCAGAAAAGCAGTTGAATAGCTGTGAGAAGAAATATTTTCCAAACAATGTCTATGTACGCCTTTTAATTCGAGTTATTTGGATGACTGTTCGTTCAAGCCACAATTTATATATTTTTCCATTTATTTTCTTAACAAATACGGTTTTGCAAGTTCTCTGTGTCTTTTTTAATATTTAGAACACATTTTAACCTATCAGGCAATTGGGCAGTCATTTGAATAACTTGTTTACACGACAAACCAAACTCCATATGACAGTTTTCTTAGGAAAGAGGCCGAGATACGTGAGTTCGCCACTAAAAGTGACCTGTTTTTTATGAATGGTTGCGTTAAAAGATGACAATTGATTTGAAATTATAAATTCTCGAATATGCTTTATTTTCCTCTAAAAATGAAACTCTTGGCTTGCTCTATCGTGTCTTGGCGACGCTTTCACTGGACCGAGGGTTCCCTCGGTCATATGTACTCGTACGTGCTGGTTCAACAAAGCAGCGCTGGCAAAGGCGCTTGCGCAATAGCCACATCTGAAAGGCCTTTCATTAACATGTGTCTCCATGTGTGTACGGTACTCTAGGGGATGAGAAAACGATTGGTTACAGTGCGAACAAGTCAAGTTCTTCCCTCCATTGATACCATTACAATGATGCACTTCAAGTTGTTCTCGATTTGTAAATGCTTTAAAGCACTGGTTGCACCTCCAGGTAAAATCGTCTGCTGGATCAAAACGCGCAGGCGTCCTGGTTTGTTGTTTATACCCGTAGCCTCGTCCGCGATACGAGGTTGTTCTTCTGTCCTCGGTCAGCATCACGTGATCTTGCTCTGATTTGCTCGATTCGGCAGGTTCATTTCTTCGCAAGGGAGGCCGGCCCCTTTGTGCTGGTGCATGGTCTGTAAGATTTCTCCTAGCCCCTGGCTCAACTGTTTCGTTTTTATCCGCTCTGGCCCGAGACCTTTCTTGGGCGACCAGATCCCGAGGGGGGTGGACCCCTGTTGATAGACATTGGATTTAAGTCACTTAACTACCAAATCAGAATGACGTGGAGGAAAGTGTGGGTGTAGTAAAAGAGTTGCAGGTGCCCATTACATTTTCCACCACAGTCATAGAAACACTCACCTCTACTTCCAGAATCACTGAGTGCCACAGGAACCCCCATGAATTGTGAATATCTTGTATCGTACCACACTAGCAGCTCCTGCCCAGGTAGAATCTCTCGGATTGTCCTGTAATAGACACAGCCATGGTATTGAAATACCACCATGTTCTGTTCTTTCTTGTGTCGAGCGCAGCGAACAAACCGCATCCAGCTGGAATTAGCTTCATCTCTGCCATCAAGATAATGACTGACCTGGCCATCATGGAACACCTGAAGAAGAAAACATCAAATTAACTGCACTCTACCAGAGAGTTTTCTTAACAGGAATCACCTTCAGTGGTGTTAAGATTAGAAATTTTTTACCTCCCACATATATTCCGTCTCTGTTTCAACTTTGATGTCTTCTGGTCGCACAAGCTTTCCCTCGTAAGGCCCGATCCAGGTCCCTGCGGGTATCCTCTTTCTTGCACACACTCCGTAGCCAACACAAGGAATGCTGGATGTACACAAGCATACCTCGTCCGGAAATTTGAGAATAGATCCGTTTTCCAAAGGACTATGGGATTGCCCAGCGCTGACAAGTTTTCTAAGAGAGTGCAAAGGCCCATGCATCGGACATTCTCCATCATGTTTCTCGTTGCAAATATCGCACCCTATAAACACAAGTGGTGATTAGCTGGAACAAGTTAAAATAACCAACAGGAATCATTCTTGGTTTAATGTATGAATGACAGCGATGAAAGCCGAGTTTTGCTTATGGTTCGTTAATTATTAAACTTTGATAATGAACAATTGCTGTTAGGGGAAAATCGTTAATGTAAATAACGGTTATTTAAAAAAGAACGAAATCTCAATAGCCCTTCGTGAGAGCGATGATGGCGAAGTGCTAACGCTTGAAACGTCCGCTTTGAAACTCTTAACGGTGGCCAATTTACATTATGAACTCAGTTAATAATGCCAAAATTATCTGGTTATATTCCCCCTACCGACGCTACACCGCAGTTTCTTTTAAAAACCACCCACTTCATTCACAGCTGTTAAGCCCGAAGAAGAAAAGTTCGCGTGACAATTTTGAGTTGGCGACAACATAGGCCAATTTCGATGGGCCAAGTTCATAAACAACCCATCAAGTTGTTTGTTTCACTACCAGACATTTGTTGAAGTCGTTTACATGTGGTTTTCTGCTGAAAGCCAATCCTGATAGAGCGTAGCTGGTCGCTTTTCATTTAATAGATTGAAACAATGTATTCAGAATATAAACAATGCCAGGTTGTACCTCCCTTAACCACATGGAAACAATAATAATCTGAAACTGTTCTTATTTGTCAAAATACATTGAATTCTTCATCTCACTTGTCTCCGGCGATTAATTTAATTTTAGATGAGTTCCATGTTTCCTTGACTGCTTATAAAGTAACCTCGTACACTGATAGTTCTATTCCTAAAATAAAACTCAGTAATTCACTATCATCGGTCCAACGTTGTAGAAATTGAATAATAGATGAGAATTTCTAAGAATTTTCCCATAGCTCGTATTGGAATCTGCCTTTATCAATAATTTTTTCACCCTGTATAACCCGAAATCATGTTCCGCAAATACCAATTATTATCTCCGTCGTCAAAAATAAATTTTTATGCCAAAAGTTACAGAATTAAGCATAGTGAATATGTCTCTGTTAACTTCATTTTTTTGTTTCTCTCTTACTTGGTATGTAAGGAGCTTACTCAAATTATTTGCATATTTAATATGCATAAATCGCATCCCTGACGCAGATCACAACTTATAAATTTACTAACTTGAAAAATGAGATGAATTGATTAACTGGTTCAAAACTATGTGACCAGTTCGCGAGGGGACTATTTGTGAATTGGTTAGTGAGACTGTAAACTAGCAAATCACACTCCTCGGTGTGGGGTCGATATCCGAAACAGATCGGTTTGTATCAAATTATTAACAAACAGTTCTAGCGTTTGGACAATTAAGAGACTGAATAGTTGATATTGAAATAATTTTAGTGTTACATCCAAAACTCGTGTTTTAAATCAGAAGAACAGGACCCTTGGCGGTCTCATTCTAAACCTGCCATGTTTCATCCGATCGCTCCTTAGTTTGTTTATTTTCTTCCTGCAAACATTTGGTAAGAATAAAACTTGCCTGGCTGGTTATCTTCCATTCTCACGTCAGATTTTGTTTGTGCGAATATCGTTTAAACGAAGAGGGAACGTTGAGGATAGCATCATAAAAGTTTTAAAGGAACTTGATAAAGTTTATGAAAACTACATGCATCTCTACTAGCGATTTTGGATAATTATTTTCATAGTAATGAATGCGAACCTTTCTGCCCTCGCGCAAAGTCGCGAACGTCAAGATAAATTTACAGAAATTCATTCTTTTCTCGACTCCATCCAAAGTAAACAATAGTATATTAAAAGTGTAGATGAATGTTTCAGATACTGGCTCTGATAAACTTATCAAAGCTTTGTGCAGTTTATCTCGCAGTGAATTTTTCTTTATCGTTTTGAAGGAAGCTGTGTTTCGTTTCGTTTCGGTATGGCACCGTTATGAGACTTTCCAGACAATATTTACATCTCTGATGTTTATACTTACATGAAAAAGCTTTGTTAGACGCGCCATTTTCCAGTTGTGAAGCTTTTCTTCTCCGTTGCTGTAG